CTCCGAGACCTCAGCCGTCTTAACCTGCTGCCGGCAAACCACAAAAAAAGCGGGGTTGGTTGGCAGCCTGTTTTTTTTTCCGGGGGGGGGGGGGAACCCTGCTTAACACGCTCCTTTCTTCCATCCGTCTAGGAGTGGGGGGCTAACTGCCCCAACGAGTTCCTCGCCGGCTACAGGCTGCAACACGACCTCTCCTGGACCCCTTCGGACGAGGCGGAGAAACGGGACACCGAACTCAACATCTTGGAGAAGCTGCTGGACCAACAAGCCATTTTGCCCCCTTGTAGCGAACCCAATTTTCGCGGCCTTACGATGTGACGCCCGGTTCTCCTCTTCGCAAAGCGTTCTCTCCTGGCTGCTTCTGAGAAACCGAAAGGGGCAGAATGACTGGAGAACAGCTTCCTCTTCGACACCCATTTGGAAATTTTTTCCTGATTTTTGTTTTGAATTTTAGTTTCCCATCCTTGCAGTTTTAGCCCTTTAGTGACAGGACGGCGGCCTGAGAAAGTAATTTTTGCCTCGTTTCAGGTCCCCTCCTGCAAGGGACAGTCCAAATTAAGACCGCCTCTCCTCCCCCCGCCCCCAAGTTGGGAATCCTCTCGCTCTTCAGCAGACAAGGTAAGAGGCGGTAGGGTCCCCTTGGAGGTCATCTAATCCCACCCTGTTCCCAGGGATAAAATCCATCACAACAAACTTGACTGTAATTATATTTATGTCTTGCTTTCCCAATTGGGAAGATTATTTATTTATAGAATGAAGGTTTTTTTCTTTTCATTTTCCCAATAACCTGAGAGGTAGCTTGGACCGAAAGAAAACCACAGGTTTTTTTAAATTATTTTATTTTTAATCAGAGGAAGGAGATTTAACTAATAGTTTTATTTAGTTAGGAATCCCATTGCATTGAGGAGAAAATTCTCTTCCTGTAACGGATGTAATAAGAATATTTATCACGGGGAATGCTGAGTGTCCGGTATGAGGCAACAGATCTTGGTCCTAACAGTTTGGATATTTTAATTATTTTTTTAAGAACCTAAAAACGAACAGAAACTAGTTGAAACAGAACAAAGAAGGAAGGAAAGAGAAGGGAAAAAGTAAACACAAACATGCAACAAGAAAGAATAAAAAAACACAAATTTCTGATTTCCTTTACAGCAAAACATAATTATAAAATAATCACGAGGATTCCAAAAAGGCTCCCTTTTTCCATTTTTTCCAATCATCAAAACCACGAGTGTATTTTTTTCTTGTTTCATGCAAAATGAAATGACTTTGGGCCAGTCCCTCTCTCTCACCACCTCACAGGGTTGTTGTTATTGCGGGGAAAATAGGAGGAGGGACTACTAGATATGTTCGCCGCCTTGAATTATTTATAACAATAATGGAATTTTTTAAAAAAAATCTAATAAAAATGCAAACATCACTACTTTTGTGCATCCCTAATGTTTGGAAATTGAAAGGTGAAAAATTTGACACACCATGTATATATATCTGTATTTCTGTGTATGTGTGTGTGTGTATATATGAAATCTGCATATGTATATATGCTAGCCTTTGTATCGTGTGTATACACACCACATAGATGTATATAGAGACAAACATGGAGATACACTATTTCCTATACACTATTGCATATCTATCATCCATCTATATAATATACACCTCCATACATGCATATACATAGGCATATGTGTATATGCACTATCTCGTATGTATAGATGCGCACGTATGTCCATATTCATGCAGATATATAGACAGATACACAAAACAGCATGCATACATGCATGTAGCCTATCTGTGCTGGCGTATGCACACGTGTGTGTACACACACAGATAGACAGACAGACAGAGAAGCTAGATGGGATCCTCCTCCATGTCCTCCATTAAGCAGGCCGCCCCTCCCAAGAGAGCGGAGCGGAGGCCCCGCCCGACGCACGAGCGTAACGTGCTCCCTCCCCTCCCCTCCCCGGCGCCGCCTGAAGCCCCGCCTCTGCAGGGACGCGGTGATGTAAGCGCGCCCGCCCGTCCGCCCGCCCCTGCTGCCCAGGCGAGGAGACCCCGCAGCGAGCTGCCAACGCCCGGCGGAGCAGCGCTGTGAGGTAAGAAGGCGGCGGCAACAACGGCGGGATTCTCGGCCCGGTCGGCGGCGGCGGAGGCTGAGGGAGGGAAGGAAGGTAGGCGGGCGGCCTCTGCGGTGCGTCTCCGGGAGGGGGATGAGGGGGAGAAAGGGCCCCCGGGTCGGCCTCGCCTCAGCCTTTGTGGGGGAGGGGGAGCTCGGCCCTTTCCTGAGGGGGTGGGGGAGGGGCGCGCTTACCGGGAGGGGGAGGGGGGTCACCCGCCGGGGTACGTCTATGTGTGTGTGGCGGGGGGGACGGGACGGGGACACGACGACGGCGACCACAACGCCCATCCTCGGGCGGGGATGATGGGAGCTGCGATACCGGCGGCGCTCGGGGACGGGAGGGGGGGCTGCCCTTCCCCGTCTCCTCGCTCCCAGCTTCCCCCCTCACAGCGGGACGGCCGGGGAGGATGGGCGTTGGAGTTCGG